GGAAGGAAGGAAGGAAGCAGCACAGCCCATAGAAACCCCCTCCTCTGCCCAATCTTCCCTCCATAGGGGAACCTGGTGAATTTTCTTCGGACCCGGGGCCGTGCCTTGGTGCACAAGGCTCAGTTGCTGCAATTCTCCTTGTAAGTGAGAAGGGAGCTTGAACCTTCACAGACTTTCTTCTGAGTCCCCAGGGAGCTGTGGGGCGTGGCAGGCCAGGACCCAGAAGCAGCACATTGTGCAGAGAGTGCTGAAGTTGAAGTCAGAGGACCTGGGTTCTAGTCTAATTCCTGCTCTATTACTTATTAGTCATCTACTTGGACAAGACTCTTTCCTTCCCTGGGCTTCAGTTTGCCTATCTGTAAAATGAGGCGGGGAGAAGGGAGGGGAGAATGGGAGGTGTGGGGGGGGGGATGGGTCAATGGAATCTCAAGCCCTTCCAATTCTAATAATCTGATCTTGAGTGTGTTTGTGTCTTGTGCTGGGACCAGGGCATGGGAGACCTTGGTATAAAACTTACTGTTAATCCCCGACCCCCTTTCCCCCTACTTTCTGGGCCAGGCATGTGGCCGAGGGCATGGACTACTTGGAGGGTAAGAAACTTGTACACCGAGACCTGGCTGCCCGAAACATCCTCATCTCCGAGGACCACGTGGCCAAGGTCAGCGACTTTGGTCTGGCCAAGGCTGAGCGAAGGGGCCTGGATACCAGTCGACTTCCTGTCAAGTGGACTGCACCTGAGGCCTTGAGACATGGGGTGAGAAGGAGTGGGGATCAGAGGGATCAGTCAGCTGTCTCGGGGGTCATCGGGGTGGGGGTGGAGGTAAGGTGAACCCCAGGCTGAAAGTCCTAGAATTTCAGAGTTGGAAGGGACCTCAGCAGCTATCTAGTACACCCCAAAGAATTCATGCCCCCCAAATCCCTACTACAACATACTTGGCCTTTGCTTAAATCCCCCCACCCCTTTCCGCCCCAATCCACTACCTCCAGAGACAGCCCATTGCACTTGGAAGCTCTTTGGTGAGGGGTTTTTTGTTTTTGTTTTTTCCTAAAGTCAAGCCAAAATTACCTCTTTGCCTCTTGCACTCCCTGCTCCTAATCCTGATCTTTGGGGCCAAACAGAACAGCCTAATAATCCCATTTCCACGTGAGAGGCCTTCAAATACTTGTGACAGCCTTCCTTCTCCTCCCCTTCCCCCTTAGTTTTCTCCAGGTTAGACATCCCTGGCTCCTTCCACTAGTCCCCATGGGGCATGGATATAAGTGCCTTCCCCATCTAGGACACCCTCCAACTTATCAGTAGCCTTCCTAGGCCAAAGTGCCCAGAACTGAACGCAGTGGCCCAGTTGTAGTCTGACCAGGGCAGAGGACAGCAGGACCTTCTGCTCCTTCCTCCTGCAAGCCAGGGCCCTTGTTGCAATTCAACATCTTATTAGCCTTTTTCTGCTGCCCCATCACAATGTTCCTCTGATGTGCTATGTGACCTTGGGCAAGTCACCTGCTTTCTTAATGAGAAAATTGTATCACCTGAATTAACTGATTAAGTACCTTCCCAGTTCTTACATTCTGTGTCCTAGGAATGCTCCCACCTCTGGCTTTCTATATTCTAAGGCCCCTCCCAAATCTAACATTATCTGTTCTAAGGGCCTCCCAGCTCTGATGTTTTGTGCTCTAAAGGGCCCTCCCACCTCTGACATTCTGGGTTCTAAGGGACTTCCCTACTCTGACATTCTGGGTTCTGAGGCCCTCCCAGCTCTGACCTCTTGTGTTCTAAGGGCCCTCCCAGCCCTGACATTTTATTCTAAGCATTTGTTGAGCACCTACTCTGTACCCAGCCTAGTATGTTCTTTGCTATGGAGGAGACACACCATTTCTGCACTCAGGGAACTCACAGTCCCGCCAGAGATACAAGGCACTCAGAGAAACACCAAATTGTCCAAGCCTTTTTTACTCTGGACAGATCTGTGGTAGATTCGGGGTGGCAGGAGACCAGAGGAGGGAAATCCTGTAGATGGAATGGGATCAGGGAATGTTTCCTGGAGGATGTGGGACTTGAGCTGAGACATCAGGGAGAATCCCAATAGATAGAGCATGTGATGTGAAGGACACACGCAAGGGAGGTTCCTTCCCCTACAGACCCCTCCTCTTGTTTCTACCCACCACCTTCCAAGGCCTTTCTCCCTGCCCTGACCTTCCCTGATGATATATAGTCTAGGGTCAAGGGATCCCATAGTCTTCCCCTCATCTCACCGGTCCTCCACTTCCAATCCGGACCTGCAGAAATTCTCCAGTAAGTCAGATGTCTGGAGTTTTGGGATCCTTCTGTGGGAAGTATTCTCCTATGGCCGGGCTCCATACCCCAAGATGGTAAGCATGGCAGTGAGGTATGCCCTAAGATCAGTTGGGCCAGAATAATGGGGAAGAGTAAAGCTTCAAGTTCCCAATGGCAAGGCAGGGACAGGATTAGATGGGGGACCCTGGAATCACAGAGAGAGGGTGTGTGTGTGTGTGTGTGTGTGTGTGTGTGTGTGTGTGTGTGTGTGTGTGTGTAAATGTAATCCAGGGACAGAATTAATGGAGGGGGGAGATACTCCAGGGTCACAGTGATAGAGAGAAGGCCTAGATTGGGGGTTGGGGGAGGAGCCATGGAGCTGAGGATGAGTCCAAGCAGCCTTCGATGTCTCCTCCTTGTTGTCCCCAATGCAGTCTCTGAAGGAGGTGTCTGAAGCTGTGGAGCAGGGTTACCGAATGCAGCCTCCGGAGGGCTGTCCTGCCAGTGTCTATGCCCTCATGGGCAGCTGTTGGGAGGCGGAGCCGACTCGTCGTCCAGCCTTCAGGAAACTCTTGGAGAAGCTGGCCAAGGAGCTGAGGAACACGGCAGCAGATCCTGTCCCTGAGGGAAGCTCAGCTGGACCCCAAAGCCTCCAGGAACCTTGAACCTCTGGCCCTTGTGCCCCCAAGGCTGAAAACCAGACTATAGGCTAAAGTGGAGGGCTCCCAAGGGCCTTGCCCAGCCCAACCCCACTGGGGACTGGAAGGAGATTGGAAAATGTCAAAATGTCTCCTCCTATCTCCTGTTCTCTCTGGATAATTCCTGGGCTGAGAGAGCCACCCAAAAGGGGCCTGGGGCTGGATGGGAGAGTGCATGGGGGTGGGGAATGTAGAGCTGTACTACAGTTGATACCTGCCCTCCCCCCCACCAAGCTTCTGGTGCAATCTGGCCTCAGTTTCCTTGGGCTGCAGTCACTCCTCAGCTGGCAGTGCCTACTTGGGGAATAGCCAGGGTGGAGATGCCCCCAAATGGGCTATAGAAATCAAGAAGCCCACGGGATGGCCCTGGCAACCTGGGAGAAGACGATAAAGGACATGGAGGCTTTATTATTCTGAGAACGGGCTTCTGTGTTCTTTGTCCCCTGCCCTTATTAACTTCCCCAGCAGAGATCCTTACTGCATTACGCCTGCCATAGTCGGCTTGATGCACGATCCCTTTGTCTGGAGCCCAGCTCTCCCATTTGGTATTGTACCGGGAATGTCCATCCCCTCCCCGAGATCTTCCTTGAATCCACCCTGAATCACAGCTTTCCACGATCCTGCACCCATGGTGATCTTCCTGGGGAAAATCTCCAGGATCCTATCGTGGAGATCCACTCCCCTCCTGGTGATCTGATCTGGGATCACACGGCCAGTTCGATGAAGGGTCTGTTCATGGGATCCTACCACCCTCTGACTAGCAGATATCTTGGACCCCATACCCGTTGCCATCTAGCAAAGGAGGGCTCTCCTTCCTTCTGGAACTCATCCCAGGGAAGGGAATGCAGTGACTTCCCCCAGAGTTCCTGGAAGCCAGTGGGTCGGGACAGGCCTTGGAATGAGCTGGATGCAGCGGGATGAGCGGGACGGGCGCTCACTGGGCCTCCAGGAAACAGAATCCCAGAGTTGAAAAGGATCTCAGAGGCCTTATTCACCCTGCACCTGAGCAAGGAGCGTCTCCAGCAGCTGGAAGGCTGAGGAGGGAAACCTAGTGCCTCCTGAGGCTGCGCGTTCCTCTTGGAGTGGCAGCGGCTCTCAGGAAGTTTTTCCTTTAACTCCACCCCACCCCAGTTCTGCCTCTGGGGCCCAGCAGAGCAAGCCTGCTCCCTCTTTCATAGGGTAGTCTTTCCAATACTTAAAGATAGGTCTCATGGTCTTCCTAAAGTCCTAAACATTGCCAAATCTTTCAAAGGAGGCCCTTCCCCATCCTTTTCACCTGGAAAGACATAAACCATGCCCTCATTTTCCCCTTGAAAACCTTGAGGCCCCTTCTGAAGAAAGCCCAGAGGATTGGGGTCAGGACTGGGGGTGATGAGGGGCCATCACAGCACTGCACCCCAGCTTGAACGGCACCCTTGCCTCTCAGAGCACGGTCTAAGGGTCACCCATCCCCTGTCCTTCAGGGGCCCAATAATCTGTGGGCTGGCCTTTCTCCTGCCCCCCCTCCAGGCCTCTAAGCTGATACAGCTGTCTGGGAGCATCAGCCTCCAGGGCATAAGAGGCTCAGGCCCGGGCTAAAGCTACAGAATACCTTAACCCTCCCTGATACTACCAGCCTGCCCTCTTAACCAATTTGTGGCCAATTAGTGTAATTGGAAGACTTGTAAAGATGAAGCTCGTTAATGTTTTAAAGTGATGAGGCAATTAGGGGCCTTGCAAGGAGGGTAGTTATGGAGGGGGCTCCCCCTCCCTTTCCCAGCCTGCTCTGGTCTCCACCACTATCTCCACTGTCAGCCTGGACATACTGGCAAGGCCTGCTGTGGGCACAGAAGGTCAGAGCAAGAAAGGAAGACAGTCAAAATCACATAGGCCTGCTTTTATAAAGAAGGAAACTGTAGTCAAGGGAGGAAGATGGGAGAGCCTGGGCTTGCACGCTAGGACTAGACCCCAGGTCTCCTGACTCACAGCTCGGTGCTTACTACCCAAGTCTAAGCTTCCTCCTTCGGGAGTACGGCATGGTGGTCAGACCTGGGTTTGAATGCTGCCCTGACATCTGTTAGCTAAGTGACCCAGAGCTCTGTCCGGATGTCAGCTTCTTCATGCGTCAAATGGGGATAGTAACACCACCTGTTATAATCCACACCACAGGTTGGTTGTTGGGGAAATCTTTCATAAACCTTCAAGCCTTGTTAAACTACTTTTATTCTTCAATCAACAAGTGTTTTTACCATGCACCAGCTGGCTGTCAGCAGTGCTGGGCACTGGAGAAGTAAAGATAGAAGTGGCCTGTAGGCACCTGGGTTTGCTCTTTGGGGTAGTTGGAGGCCTGGATCTGGGGTGGAGACACCTAATGGAGGTAGGCAGACAATTACCGAGGCTTCTCTTTGGCCTTGCACTATAGGAGGGTAACTCCCAAATATCTGGGTCCCAGACCCCAAGGCCATCTCTCCAGAGTCTTTCCCTGTCCCTTTTCCCTTCCCCAGATCTTGGGGGAGGCAGCTGGAGTCATCTGTGGTCTCAGTGGGAGGTAGTGAATGCAGCCTCTCAAGGTGGGTGGGGGTGGGGAGATGTCAGGGTCTCTGAATCTGCCTCTTGGCTTTGCTAGGAACTCACCAAGTGACTTTAGGCAAATCTCTGTGGCCTCAGTTTCCTCCTCTGTGAAGTGTGACTGCTTCACATAAAGTCCTCCTTGCCTTCTCTAACTTCCCTTGGGGTTTAAGCCTCATCCTTCGAGTCATGGAAGGACCCTAGCTTCCCCGAGGTCAAACAGACAGAGCACAAACTGGTGAGTCGTGTCAAGAAGGAAAGGCAGTGATGGACCATGCCAGACCATCCTGGCTACATTCAGAGACATGCGGCATGATGGCTTCAGGGGGATGAAATGTGTCGGCTCAGCAAGTCTTGAAGACCATCTATCCATGGTGGTCTGCATTAGGTCCTTGGATGGCTGAGGTACAGGAACACTTGGCTGTGATCTCATAGAAGGGATTCCTAGTCACATACCAGCCCTTTCCAACTCTGAGATACTGTGATTGACATGCTCCCTAATGGCTTTCCATCCATTAGTCAAAGGGACTGAAGGCACAATGCAGGAAGTCTGTCCCTCTCCTCTAGTCTCCCACCTGTCCTATATCACTCTATAAGCTGCCTGTCTACCAGGACTTCCCCTTTGTCCATTCTACTCAGTTAACCACTTCCCCCACCCCCTACCACCTTCTAGACCCAGGGGGACATCAAGGGGCACCAACTGTCTGTCATCCTTAAAGGGGAAGGCCTCCCAATTAATCACTGGCTCTAATCTCTCTTCCAATTCTCCTCCCATTGCTTTCTAGTCTGTCAGGGCTTAAGACAGGGGTCTGTAAAGATCTGCAGAGACAGGTGGGTGTCTCAGGGAGGAAGACTTGACCGGAGGAGCCCCCAGTTCCTGGTGAGTGCCATGTGGCTAAGGGGGTGGCTGAGATGGGATAGAGGCGGGATAGAATCAGGGTGGCTGGCAGCAAGTAGTGTCAAGGGGGTGGTTTGAGGGGACCGAGTGGCGTCAGGATCCCCAACACTGTGCCCCCCTGAAGACAACCCTGAGAGAAAGACAGACGCGGACACACAGGGAGGAGAGACTGAGCCAGATAGAGACAAAGAATTAGAAAGCAAAATGGAGACAGATATTTGGTGCAAAGAAAGCCTGGGAGCCAGAACACCTGAGTTCTAGTGCTGGGGAAGAGGGAGCAAAGGTCTGCTTTTAGAATCACACAGTCTCAGGGGCAGACGGGGTTTCAGAAGGCATCTACTCCAAGCCTTTCCATTCTTGGAGAAGTTGTTATCTAGTCTATAATTGAAAAGCTCTGGTAACAGTGACTTCTGGGGGCTTCCCATTCTGCTTTTGAGCAGTCCTGATTTACAGGAGATATTTTCTTTTATTGAACCAAAATCTGCTTCTCCTCCACCCCCCGCCCGGCGGCTTCCTTTCTTTGCTCCTGTTTCTGCCCTTTGTGGCCGTATAGAACAAGCTTAATTCCTTTTCCACATAGCCCTTCAAGTAATTGAAAACAATTAGCCTATGTCCCCTGAGTTTTCTTTCTCCAGGCTAGACATCCCCAGGTCCATTCATTTCTCATGCTTTCCAGTGCCCTTCCATCCTAGCTGCCCTCCTTTGGAAATGTTCTGGTTTATCAGTGTCCTTCAGATGTTGCCCCAGAACCATGCAGATGAGGTCTGCAGAATACAGTGGGATACAGAATACAGTGTTGCTTCTTTCTTTATAAACAATACACCTCTGCTAATGCAGCCCAGGATCAAATTCACTTTTGGGGGCTGCCATGTTGAGGCCATGAATACACCTTTAACCTCTAGCGATTTCTCCACATCAGGCCATAACCTGTAATTGAGCCCTTGATTTTTTGAACTTGGTGGCATGTTTTTTATAATTATCTCTAAATTTGATCCTGTTAGATTGGACCCATCATTCTAGTTTATTGATATTGTTTTGAATCCTAATTCTGTCATCCAAGGCATTAACTTAGGTGCAGAATGCAGAATCTAGCCTATTGGGGAATATCTGCGGAAGAAAAAAAAAAAAAAAGAACTAACAATTTGCAGCTGTCCAGTAATTGACTGGGCTTCCCTAGGAGCGAGTGTGTGTTTTTATTTAAATGCCTGAGCAAGGTTTCCAGGCGGTGCCTTTGCCCCTAATCCAGCCTCAATACCCCTAGAAGATCTCTGGTCTGTGGGATCAACAGCTTAGCCCAGAGCTGGCTTCAGAGAGAAAAGGGCTATTAAGGGGCTTCAATGATTAGCTGGCAGTGGGGGAGGGCATAGACCAGCCCCTTAGAAACATCCCATTGTACCTTAGACTCTCAGAGCCAAAAAGGCCCTTTGGAGACCCTGTAGAGTCCAACTTTCTTATTTTACAAATGGGGAAACAAAGGTGCAGGTTAAGTGACTTGTTCAGGGTTATACTGTGAATGAATAGTAGATTCTATTTGTAGTTTGCTAGAACTTAAGGCTAAACTGAGGGCCAGAGGTCAAGTGATTTGACCAAGGTCATAGGATTCAGTACATGCTTATTAAGTGCCTCCTGTGTATACTAGGCACTGTGGATAGGAAGAGGAAAAAGTGGCAGTCCCTGTCCTCAAGGAAAGAAACAAGCATTTATTAATTGACAACCCTGGCAGATAGGTGCTATTATGATCTGAATGTAACAATTGAAGAAACTGAGGTTAAGTGACTTGCCTAGGATCTTGTAGCTAGTAAGTGTCTGAGGCTGGATCGGAATTCTGGTCTTCTGGATTGCAGGTCAGGGGCTCTATTTACTGCACCACCCAGCTTGCTTACATTCTTTTAGGGGATATGACATATGAACACATAAGCAAATGCAACATAATTTGAGGAAAGAGAGGGCACTAGTGATTGGGTTGATCAAGAGGGACTTCGTGGAGGGGGTGGTACTTGTGCTCAGCCAGGAAGGAAGATAATGACTTGGTGGTTCAGAGATGAGCTAGGACTGTGCTCTAGGCATGGGGGACAGATGTCCTCTGCAGTTTAGTGGTCTTCTAGCTCTCAGACTAGGTAATGTTTCTCTCCTTTAACATCCGAAACCCACACAGGGACTGTGAATTCATCACGCCCACCTTGAGATTCTCCATCTCTTTTCTCCAAAGTGTTCTCCAGACAGGCTAGGAGTGGGCAGGGCTGGGGGGCAGGCTGCCCATCTTCCTTCCTCTCTCTCCCCCACCTAATCTTCTCTTCTCCCACTGCACACTCAGGTGGGGCAATGTTTCTGAGCAAATGTGAGGGGGAGCCAGCTGAGGGAAGGCCCCCGGGGTCCTCGGAAGCAGAAGACACCCCCAAGAAGAAACACAGGAGGAACCGCACAACCTTTACAACCTTCCAGCTACATCAGCTGGAGAGGGCCTTTGAGCGCTCCCACTACCCTGATGTCTACAGCAGAGAGGAGCTGGCCACACAGGTCAACCTTCCTGAGGTTCGCGTGCAGGTGAGACTGAAAGCAACGGCCCTCAAGTAGCTTAAGTCCTAACTGTCTTCCCCCTGCCTTCAGGGAGCTCCCAATCTAGGTGAGAGACAAGACTTAGAGTTGTGGAAGAATCAGAGCTCAGGACAGGAGAGGCTATGAGCGAAGACAAACTGGGCCAGGAATTCAGAAGAGAGAGATATTGCTGGGCTTCGGTAGTCATGGGTGGGTCAGGAAAGTGTCCCTGGGTTGGTGGGTAGGCAAAGCAACAAACTTTTGTCAAGTGCTTATTATTTGCCAAGCTCTGGGTATACAAATACTAGCAAAAAGAAAGATAACCCCTGCCCTCAAGGAGCTTACAGTCTGATGGAGGAAGACGACTTATTTTGGACTCCTCACTCTCTCTCGCCTCTCTCCCTCCATATTTAATCTGTTGCAAAGTCCTGCTGATTTTACCTTCATAATATCTTTCATATACTCCCTCTTCTATTCTGACACTGCTACCACCCTGGGGCAGGCTCTCATTACTTTTCAGTTAGACTATTGCAATAGCTTTCTGTTGGTCTCAAGTCTCTCCCCACTCCAGTCCATCCCCTACTCAGCTGGCAAAATAATCTTCCTAAAGCACAAATCTGGCCACACCACTCTCCTATTCAATAAATTGCAATGGTTCCCCATCGCCTACAGGATCAAATATAAAATTCTCTCTTTGTCATTTTTTTGGGGGGGTGGTGAGGCAAATCAGGGTTAAGTGACTTGCCCAGGGTCACATAGCTAGTATGTGTCAAGTGTCTGAGCCCAGACTTGAACTCATGTCCTCCTGACTCCAAGGCTGGAGCTGTGTCCACTGTGCCGCCTAACTGCCCCTTTGTCCCTTGAAGAGGACCATAACATCAGGAAGGTGATGTTGTGACATGCAGGTGAAATGGATGTAAGTGAGAGAGGGCTGTGCAAAGTCACCAACCTCACTTTGTCCTCTGGAGCCATCTGGGTTCAGTGACAAGATACAGATAAGGACAACTAGAGATGGCTTTTCCAGGCTTCCTACACTTCATTCTCCCTCCCCTCTACCCTTCCAATGTAGTGACACCAGCTTCCTTTCGTGTTGTTCCTCAAACAAGACACTCCATCCCCAGACTCTAGGCATTTTCATAAACTGCCCCCCCATGCCTGGAAGGCTTTCCCTCCTCATTTCTGCCTCCTGTCTTTCTTGGTTTCCTTCAAATCCCACTAAGCCAAAATCCCACCTCCTACAAGAAGCCTCTTCTGATCCCCCTTAATGCTAGTGCCTCCCCCTTAATAGCTAGTGCTATTGCAATAGTCTAACTGAGGCGCAATGAGAGCCTGCCCCAGGGTGGCAGCAGTATCAGAAGAGAAAAGAGGGAGTATATGTAAGATGTTATGAAGGTAAAATCAGCAGGACTTGACAACAGATTAAATATGGTGGGAGAGAGGCGAGAGAGAGTGAGGAGTCCAGAATGAGTTGTCTTCTCCCATTGGACTATAATGCTGCTGTTGATTCCCTTTAATTTACCCCGTATATATCTTTTCTGCACATAATTGTTTTCATGTCATCTTCCCCATTAGACTGTGAGCTTCTTGAGGGCAAAGACTGTTTTTTGCCTTTCTTTGTATCCCCAGTGCTTAGCACAGTGTCTGACACATGGTAAGCAACATATAAAAGGGAATTGGAAAGCAAGGGAGTGGAAGAGGCAGGGGAAGATTCTAAGACAGAGCAAAAGCTCTAGGTCGGGAAAGAACCTAGGGGACCTAGAAGAGGATGAGGAGCACATCTTGGCAGAAGCCAATGCAGTATTTATAGGGGAGCAGGGAGGGAGGAGACTGTAGATTAGGGCCAGAGGATGGACAGCATTGGGGCTCCTCTTGGAGACAGTGGGAACAATGAAAGGTGAGTGGGCTCGGGGAGGTTGTGAGCAGTGTTGTATTTGGAAGACGACTGGCTTACCTGTGCAGGAATGACTGGAGGAAGAGAAAATGGAGGCTGCTGAGGAGGAAGTGGGTACAGGCAGGATCAGATGGGGACTGGACAGTGGTGGGGCTAGAGAGGACAGTGTAGAAGTCGGGGACATTGTGCAGAGAGACTCATATTATGAGTTATGTTATGTTATGAGTGGAAAGCACCTTAAAACATAAAACAGAATGCCAGAGAGACTCATGTTATGAGTTATGTTATGAGTGGAAAGAACCTTAAAACATAAAACAGAATGCCAGAGCTAAAGAGACTCTTAGACAACATCTGGGCCAGGGTTCTTAACCTTGTTTGTGTCATGGACCCCCTTCTCAGAATCATCTTTTTTTTTCCTTAGGCAATTGGGGTTAAGTGACTTGCCCAGGGTCACACAGCTAGTAAGTGTCAGTGTTTGGTCTGAGGCCGGATTTGAACTCAGGTCTTCCTGACTTCAGGGCCACTGCTCTATCCACTGTGCCACCTAGCTACCCCTCAGAATCATATTCTTTAAATAATTGAAGAAAATGTTAAATTTTGTGTAGATATTATTGAACATGAAAATGTAATTTTTTTTTCCCAGCCAAGTTCATGGATCCACTGAAATCTTCCCTGGACCCTTCGGAAGTCTGTGGACTCTAGGTTAAAAACATTGGATTCAGACAAATCCTCTCATCATACAGAAGAATAGATAGATGAACAGATAAGGCATTTATTGAACACTTACTAAGTTGTAGGTACTGTGCTAAGTGCTAGAGGTTCAAATATAAGCAAACAAAACAGTCTTTCCTCTCAAAGAGTTTACATTTTAAGAAAAGGAAGACAACATATATAGGAGTGCTGGAAAGTAGGGGGATATGGATAAGACAACTGGCAATGAGTCAGAGAAGTTTGGAGAATGAGTCAAGCCAGAACTGAAATGAGAATGGCTGGGACCCCTCAAGAAAGAGTGAACAGGATGGGGAATCACCAATCAGGAGAGTGGGCCTCAGGGTGGAAGTTTCTTCAGGGTGAGAAGGAAGCTGATGAAGTGGAGAAATTGAGGCCAGGAAATGCCAAAGAACTTCCCTAAGGTTGAGTCGGTGGTGGAGCTGTTATTGGATGTTGGGGTAATTGACCATGAAGAGTGAGAGGGGAGAAATTTGGGCTCTTCTAGATACCCCTTCTCTTCTCATGTTTACCAACTCTACCCCATCCCCAAGCCCTCCAAGAGGAAGGCAGAAGCTTATAGGGACTGGGAGGCCGGGAGGTTTCTTGTCTGGGTTGATCTGATCCAGAGCCAAGAGTTTAGAGCCCAAAGATGAAAGTGACATTATCTGCCCTGCTCCCTTGAAAAGGCTATTGTGATTGCCAGTATCCTTCAGGGAGTTAGAACTGTAACAGACAAGTTAAGTTAGATGCTAAGCTGAACTTTCCTGACTGGAAGAACCTTGGAAAAGGTGCCTGAGGCAGAAGGGGGCTTCCTTTCCTGGTCTGAGGCTAGACAATATGGGATGGGCCATAGAAAGTCCCACTGAGATGCTAGAAAACAGGCATAAAGACCTTGGGGGTCAAGACTCCTATCTTCTATCTCCACCATCCTTCTAGGTCTGGTTCCAGAATCGTCGGGCCAAATGGCGACGGCAAGAGAAGCTGGAGGCCAGCTCTGCAGCAGCAGCAGCAGCAGCCGCCGCCACCAAACTTCCAGAGGCCCCCATGCTGGCCTTTGCTCGGCCTCCCCCAACTGCCTCACTCCCCCTGGACCCTTGGCTGACCTCAGGTCCCCCAGCCATGCATGCTCTCCCAGGCTTCCTGGGACCAAGGCCTGGTCTACAACCCACCTATGGGCCTCACGCCTTCCTCCACGCCTCTTCAGGACCCCCTCCTTTTGGGGAGGCCTTTGGCCCCCTGGCAGAACCTGGGGATGCCCACGCTCGAAGCTCCAGCATTGTCTCTCTTTGTTTTCGGGCCAAGGAGCATGTCCAGACTCTTGATAGGACCTGGCAACCTCTCTGACCCTGTCCCTGCTGCCCCCTTTTTGCCTTAGACTTCACCAAGGACAGTTGGGCTCTTTCAGGATCCTCTCTGCTGTGCTCTCTCCTCCTGTCCCAACACACTTTGGAGCCCTTCAGGGATGCCCAGCAGGGGCCAGGAACAACTGTTGACAAGGGCTTTGACCATGTTAGAGATGGATCAACTGAGAACCAGAAAGCTCAAGCAACTTGGCAAAGGCAACACAGTTAGAGGGTAGTAGGGCCCAAATCTAAGAAGCAGGATTCTTCCCAGGGGTGGGCTGGTAAATATTTAATAACCAGCTCTCTAAAGACAAAAAAAGTATGCATCAAATCCTTTAAAATTTGATCTGAATCATTAATATTTTCTCCATTACTTTCCTAAGGCTAGACAATCAACAAAACAATAAATCAAGCTCTCCTTTGTAGGGTTTGCTGGTTACTGAAGTGTAAATATGCACACTGAAAAATTAACAATTGGCTAGAGCCGATCGAGTCACCTCTAGCAGGTCAACCCCGGTTCATAAGGCGGGGCTGGGTGAGTGGGGACAGTGGAAGATGGGTCATTCATTGGTGCCTTTCCATCTCTTCTTGCTGAATGAGAGGGGAATGGGGGCACCCTGTGTTCATGCTGCCTTCCCAATAAAATCGGGTATGTATGAAACATGGTTCTTTGTTAGGGGACTGACTCTGGGGCAACCATGGGAAGGAGGCCCTAGAATGTCAGAACTGGGCAGATATTCAGCTAGCAGAGAGCTCGGGTCCTGATTCTAACTCTGGTGCTCTTCCCATTATGGCACACTACGTTGCAACACTGATTGTCAAAGCTAGAAGGGATTTCAGAGTCCAGTTCCCCCATTCTCCCCATTGATTTACATGGGAAAACAGCCAAGTAGAGAATGGATTCACCCAAGGTCATACACTGAATCAGGGGCAGTGCCAGGGCTCAGGTCTTCTGGCTCTTGCCTAGGTATCATTTCACTTCTGGGAACCTGTGGAGCACTAAGGAAGGAGGAGGAGACAGGATTATTCCCTCCCCCTCCCCCACAACCATAGACCTCTGCCATCCTGAACTTCCCATCCCAGGAGCCCTAGAGGCATATGGGAGGATCAGGAATCCTAGATTGGCAGCACAAAGGAGAATGAAGTTGGATAGATGGCAAAGTGTTGGGAAGGGGAGTTGGGCAGCATAAGGTACTTTGTGTCACAGAGTCACCAATGACACTTAGAGAATGTGGGCTCAAAGGGAGCTGGTAATTTGCCTTAATGTGTATCAACTAGGAACAAGAGTAGAGAGGTAACATGGTACATTGGAATATGCGCTGGATTTGGTCAGCAGAGATCAGGATTGGAATCCCACTTCCTAGTCTAGCCCACTTTCTATTCTAGCCATGATCTAGTGATCATGGGCAATACATCTAATCTCTCTGAGCATCAGTTCCTCATCTAGAAAATGGGCACAATAGTAATACTTGTAGGACCTACCAAAAAGTGATGTTGTCAGGTTCAAACAAGGTTACACATGTAAAGGGATCTGCAAACCTTAGAGCACTACATTATTAATACAAATAGAATCTAGTCATCCTGGCTTCCAGTCCAGAACTTATCACTCCTGCTGCCACACCAGCTGTTTAGGCTGAGGTGGCCCCACTTACATCCTAATTACATGACTAATTGGGTGGAAAAACTGGGACCATCCTCTCCTGGGATAATGCTGGGGACAATGAAGTCAATGAGGTGGAAAGAATTTGGCTTGATGTATGTCCTGGTGTTACCATGTTGCTCGTCTCTTGGTCTGGCATCGGGGCTACCCTAGGCTGTGGCAGATCCTGAGATTCCTTACTCAGAGGAAGCATCTCCCCTCATTTTCACACTCACTGCTACTTGGAAACACCGGGGATCCTACCCTTACTTATCTGGACTGAGTTGGAGTTCAAGGCAGGGGCTAATATTGATGAAAATCTTTTACATCTTAACCTTCAACACCTCTACTCACATCTAAGTCCCAAAATACAGTCCTGCTTGGGTGTCTTCACACCCATGTTCACAGCTGAGCCCCAACTTGTATTCACTCTTCACCCCTAATCCCACATCCTAATTGTGTAAAATTGTATTTCAAGAGCTGGGCCTTCGATTTTCTGTTCGCATCCAGGCCTCCATACCCTAGTTGCTCTGAACATGTGGAAGTGTATGTGGAGGTGGCACCACCCACTTTCTGCCCTTGTGGACAATCAATCCCCTGACAGAGGAAAGGGAGGGAAGGGAGGAACAATGTCATGAACACCTGTTACCCAAATTGTGCCATCCTTTTGGCAGCGATAACCAGTTAGCCAATCAAATTACTTATTTCATTTACACTCTTGATGGAATTAACTCATCTAGCCACTGGCAAAGTGGCACAGTGGATAGGGTGCCGGGCCTGGATTTGGAAAGACCTGAGGTCAAATCCAGGTCTCAGACACTCACTAGCTGTGTAACCCTGGGCAAGTCACTTAGTCTTGTTTGCTCAGTTTTGTCATCTATAAAATGATCTGGAGAAGGAAATGGCAAACTACTCCAATATCTGGGCCAAGAAAACTCCAAATGGGATCATGAAGAGCCAGACATGACTGAAATGAATGAACAATAACAACAACCAATCGTGTCTCACCCGCCACCTCTTCCCCATGACCCTTCTTTCCTTCATCTCAGGTACAGTGATTCAGAAAATCTTTAGCCCTGGAGTGCTTGGTAAGTAGGGGAAGTAAGCCCAGGGATAGGGGAACTTCATGAGACCATTATGATTAATTCATGCGATAGTCTGGGAACTCGATGGATCTCAAAAGTTTCTTACTAGCTTTCAGCACACAGTAAGCATGTGGACCCGGGGCTGATAAGGCAGCCAGAGTGAATTAGGACCAGGTTGGGTTGGGAACCATCACCTCCTCCCTCAGAGATGCCAGATTGGTGGTGGTTGTTTGTTTTGCTTGGCTGCCTATTTGTTACAAGGATTTTGTCTTTCTTCCTCCCTTCCTTCCTTTATTTTTCTTTCTCTCTCTCTCCCCCTTCCTTCCTTCCTTTTTTCCAGTGGGAGAGTGAGGGGAAAATTAAATGCTTGATGATTGAAACACATAACATTTAATAAAAAAAAAAAATTGGGTTGCGGCTTTGATGGTCTGAAGCTGACCCAACCTGCCGCATTCCTGAATGATAAACAGTCATTTAGAAAATTCTTACCTAACGCTCTCCTCCTGTAAAGTAAAACCCCTCCCCTGAATCCCTCCTTGGTAACTGAAGTTTATTGTGCAGTATTGTGCAATAGTAGGGGGTGGGGGTGGGGGTGGGGGTAGCAACTTCTGGAGAGAGTTTACTTGGGACCTATATTAGTGTCTTTTTCATCTATAAAATAGGGGTGGTGAAATTTGTACTCCCTACCTTGTGCGGCTGATGTAAAGAAAGCATTTTGTAGACCACTAAGTCTGATAGCAATATCGACTAGAGAATGGAGACTAGCTCCTTTCTATTTAACGTTGTCTCTGAGTTGTCATGGAGGCAATGTGGAGTAGTGGAAAGCACGGAAGATCTGGAGTCAGAGGATGTGACCTGCTCTTGTTCTTATTCACCGCAGTCTTATTGTTCCCATCAATTCTCCCCTTCCCCCCTCTTCATCTTTTCATAGTCAAGCAAAACAAATTCCTGCGTTGGCCATATCCAGAAATACATGACGGAGGTGGAGTTGGAAGGAAATACTCATCCTGCACCCTGAGTGAATCACCTTTCTGTCCAGACATACATAGCTGACTTCGTCAAAGATCTTCTGGAATCCTCCTTGCTTGGTCATTGTGTTGATCAGGGCTCTTAAGGCTTTCAGAGTCATTTGAATTTGTTTTTATTATAGAAATTGTTCTCCTGGTTCTACTCATTTCAATTTACATCAGTTCGTGTCTTCTAAGTTTTTTTTTTTTTATGAAATCATCCTTTTCACCATTTCTTATAGCACAATAGTATCCCATCAGATTTCTATAGCTTCAGGGGGTAGCTAGGGGGCACAATGGATAAAGCTCTGGCCTTGGAGCCAGGAGGAACTGAGTTCAAATCCAGCCTCAGACACTTGACACTCACAAGCTGTGTGACCCTGGGCATGTCACTTAACCCCCACTGCCTCACCAAAAACAAAACAACATTTCTATAGCTTCACTTGTTCAACCATTCCCCAACTAATGGGAACCCCCTGAGTTTCCAATTCTTTGCCTCCCTCAGAAAAGCTGCTATAAATATTTTCATTCATGTGGATTCTTTTTCTTTCCCTTTGATATCTTTGTGGTATGGACCTAGCAGTGGTATTCCTGGGTCAAAAGGTTTGTTTGCTTTATACAATCAGCAGATCTCTGAGCTGGAAGGGACCTTAGATCCCTAAGTAGTATCTAGTTCGTCCTATACCTTGAGAAAGAATCTCATCTTTACTATCCTGTGGAAGTAGACAAAGCCTTCTCTGCTCTCTCTTTTAGAAATGTTAAGAGATCATTAAAAGCTATCTTATTCTGAAGCTAGGTGGCACAGTGGATAGAGCTCTGGGCTTGGAGTCAGCAAATCTGACCTCTGACAGAGGCCCATGTGACCCTGGGCAAGTCACTTAATCTCTACTTGCCTCAGTTTCCTCAATTATATAATGAGGATCATAATAGCACTTACCTCACAGATTCAAATGAGATAATATTTCTAAAGCACTTAGCAAAGTGCCTGGTACATAGAAGGCACTCGATAATGTGCTTATTTCCCTTTCCCTTTGGACAAATCTAAAAGAGAAACCTGTATCAGTCTTTCTGTCCCTAAATCCCAATTCCAAAAGAGTGTTTCTCTCTGATCAGCCCAGGAAGGACCTTTCCTGAAATAACTAGGGCAGTGACAGGACAATGGAAAAGAACTCTCTTGACTGATCAAACTAAGGGCCATAACCTCCAAGAGATGAGTAACTGCCTTTTAACTTTCTCAGGATTCCCAGCGATTAGCACAGTACCTGGCAGTTAAGCACAGTGCTTAAGAAATGCTTGCAGACTGACTGGCTCAAGAAGTTTTGTAGTGTTAACATTAGAAACAAACTGTTGACTGAACTATTATATAAATTCTGTTTCCTTGCTCAATTGTGACTGAAAGAGTCCTATGATTTTTTTTTAAATTTTAAATAAAGACTTCAAGAGTCCTATAAATTCACTAATAATTAAAGAAATACAAATTAGGCAACTCTGTGATTCTCCTTCCCCTCATGTTTGTCTGAGTTGACTGTAAAGGTGGTTTCTCAGGTGACTCCCTAATCCATAGGGAGAGAAACCACGTCTACCTTGGGAGTTTTAAAAGATTGGGAGAGGGATCACAGTAATTAGGGAGTCAGAGTCTAGGCTGGGTTTCTCAGCTAATGCACCATGAATCCTTAGAGTCTGGGGACCATAGCACATTGGCAGTTGAGATGCAGGCTCATCCAGCTGCAGCACCAAATCTGGACATGTATTTGGTGGGACCAGTACTATGTAGGAAGTACTCTAAGTTTTGATTCTACTGTACCAGAGACTGAGGTGAGTAGGAGAGAGTATGAAGAGGAAAACCTAATCAGTGGAAAATGGAACTGGGGCATAATGAGAGGGGGAACACAGCCAAATGGGGCTCGTGCTAATGGCAGGGGAGAAAAAG